TGACTGCCCTGTTCCATTGCCTATATGTGTCATTCTCTTCCTGTTGACTGCCCTGTTCTTCCTCCTAGATCCTGGATCTTGCTTTTTCACTTTCCCTCTCTCTGTCTCTCTTTGATCAAGTTAAGAAAATAATAATAACAACAATAAAATTAATAAATAATTATTTTAAAAAGAAGAAAATGAAGGAATACTTGAAATTTGTTAGCATAGAAGAAATGGATTAATTCCTTGAAAGACACAAACTACCAAAACTCACACAAGGAAAAATTAAAACCTGACTAGCTTTGTATCTATTAAATAAAATGATTCAAGAGTTAATAACCTACCAAAGATAGTGCTAGGTAGTAGCAGAGTGTTAAAGCAACCAGACCTACGTGGAAAGATTCTGAGTTGGCATCCTGGGACCTCCTGGGCATGAACGATGTGCACACGTGCCTGTTATCTTTGTTGGCTGAGACTGGGGTTGGATCACAGCATGAGAAAACACTGTCAGGTATGATTGTTTCTTTATCTTATGGAAAAAAATAAATAATAAACCTTTAAACAATTAATTAAAAATTTTTAACCTTTCAAAGATAGAAACTGCCAAGACCATAGGTTTTCATCAGTGAATACTACCAAATTCTTAAGGAAAAAATAATACAAATTCTCCACAATCTTGTCCATAAAACAGAAGCAGAGCGAATACTACCAGACCCATTCCGTGAGACCAGCATTACCCTAATTCCAAAAGCAGATAAAAATATCACAAGAAAGGAAAACTTCAGACCAGTGTCTCAACAAAACATCAGTTAATAAAATCCAACAATGTATAAAAATTTTGCAATCTTTTGCATAGTTCAACATTTGAAAATCAGTAAGGGCTGGCAGGTAGCATGGTAGTTAAAACCTCTGGACTCCCACATGGCTGACTGTGCTTTCAGTCCTGGACCTGGTGGCTTTCTTTTTCTCTCTCTCTTGCTCTCTCTCGCTGTTTTTCTCTGGTCAAATTAAAATAAACAAATAAAGTTAAATAAAATCATTCTTTTTTATAACTTTTTTTATTTCGTTTTCTATTTTACATTCAATCACATTATTTAGCTTACAAACTGAATATTTCAACATGTGAACATTTCTTCCTAGTCCAGTTGATAAAACTGTAAAAGTATCTTCAACAGATAATACCACATTTCTTTGTCCCATTAATGCTTTGCCTATTTTTCTTCTAAATGTCCTTCTTCAGACTCTATTCTTTCACACACATTATATCTTGTATTTACATCCATTTACTGTGTTTCTGTAACCTTTAGTCAATTAGTTTCAGTCATAGAGTGCAGACATTCAGTATATATTAAGTGGGGACATACAATGTCTCTCCTTCATAGCCTGGCTTGCTTCACTCAGCAGTAGATCTTCCATATTCTTCCACTTTCTGTCAAAAGCCAGGGTTTTGTTCTGTGTGTGTGTGTGTGTTTATGGCTGAATAGTATTCCATAGAGTATATGTGCCATAGTTTTTTTTAAAAAAAGAAAATCAATCAATATAATCAGTCACCTTAGACTAAGAGAAAAATAATTTGATTATATCACTTGGTACAGAAAAAAATCATTTGACAGAATTAACAAACTAGAGTTAGTTTCATGATAAAAGCACTCAACAGGGGCCAGCAGGTGGTGTGATGGTTAAGGCACTATACACTCCCATATGACCAACCATGGTTCGAGTCTTGGACCTGGTAGCTTGCTTTCTCATTTTCCCTCTCGCTCTCTGTGTCTATCTGGTCAAATTGGAATAAATGAATGAATAAATAAAATTAAATAAATAATAATAAAAAAACCTTAAAAGCACTTAGCAAAAAACAAGAGGGGAAGTTTCTCAATTTGAAGAGCATCTCCAAAAAATCTACAGCTAATGTCTTATCTTTTTTTTTTTTTTTTTTGGCTTGAGGGCACATGCCCTCTCCAGAAAGAGGAAGAGGGAGAAAGCAACCTCCATGGGGAATTGTCATGCTATGATGTCATCTTCCCCTCCTGTGGAATTTCAGGGACGCAAGAACTTGTGCCCAGTGTGTTTCTTAAGCCTTCAGGTCTAGGACTCAAACCATGTGAGACCTTATTCCCTTAAATACCAGGCGACAAAGCTGGCTCTAATATGATACTTAATGGTGAAGAAATAGATGTTTTTCACTCTAAGATCATGAACAGGGCAAAAATGTCCTTTTTTTATCATTCCTATTAAATAATACTGGAAGTTCTAGCGAGTACAATAAAAAAGAAAACATATATAGATTGAAAAGGCATAGATAAACTGTCTCTATACATATGACTTGATTTTCTACATAGAACATGCCAAAGAACTGACAAACCCCTGGCTGCAAACTCCAGGTTTATATTATATTAAAAACATTGATATGCAAAAGTCAATTGCTTTCTTATATTCCAGTAATGAACAATTAGAATTTGAAATTTAAAAATACCATTTAAATTTGTACTCCCAAAATGCAGAACGTGACAAAAGAATCTAAATGTATTACAAATTTATAAACAACCTCACTGAAAGTGATGGGGTAATAAGGTGTTGACAGAGATAAATTTGGAAATGAGTCTATAACACTAACAACAAAAGGAACAGTACAAAACACTTTACTGTAGTTGATAAAGTCGTTTCTCACAGGGGTACAGGTCAACAATTTTAAAACCACTATATGTGTTTTTTACTTTTGTGGTCTCTGGTTTTTTTTTTTGTTTTTTTTTGGAGAGGTTTTTGCTACAGGGCACGTGCGCTCGCCAGACAGAGGGAGACATAGAGACAGAAAGCAAGAAATCACCCCCCAGGGGGGATGGTCACGCCGCAATCCCTTCTCCTCCATTCTCCTCTCGGGCTCTTGGGCACGCACGCACACACACCCGGCGTGAGTTTTAAGCCACCGGGTCCAGGACGTGAACTGCGGTCGACTACGTGGGAGTCCAGCGACATAGCCATTACGCTAACTGCTGGTTCCCTTTTTGTGGTCTTCTCCAATGCATATAATGCCTTTGTAACTATAAGAAAATGAAAAAAAAAAAGGATGTTGTTTGGTGAGAGACAGGCTCTCCACAGTTGGAGTGGAAGATTACAGTTAAGCAAGGGGAAGCTAGAGTGATCATATGCTAATAAACTACAATTGGTGACACCAGTACAAACTCAGTTAGCTTTACATAGATACAGACGGTTACATGTAAAAATATTATATTGCCATATATATTTTCTTTATATATATTATTATATACATTATCAACTCAGAAGGCCTAGAAGCATTGCCATTCCAATAGCAATGAGAATGCCTAGCACCTAGATCTTGTTTTTTAAATGCTACTCCCCAATAAACATACCAGGGCCCCTTGGGGAAAATGGCTAATTCTTAAGACTTGGAAAAGAAATATGCAAGATAAGGCTAGAGCATCTTGTAGTGTCAGAAAGTAAGTACTAAAAAAGCGAAACAAAACAAAACAGCGAAGGGAGTATGTCAAACTAATACAGGAGTCAATTGAAAGAGTTCTCAATGGCCAAAACAGGAACAATTTGAACCAAGTATATAAGTAGTATTTTACTATAATTCAAAGTAAAAAAAAAATTCATGAGTACATAATGACATATAAAGAATTGGATATGTAAATAAATGGAAAGAAGAGTCAAATATCCTGCAAAGAAGAATTACAAATCATTTTTGTGGCTTCTCTGTACACAGCATAATGCCCAGTTTTTTAGGTGTGCACTGCCAACAGTGACTTAATTACAAAGAATTCAGTATGAAAAGGGAGAAACAAAAGTAATTTTACTGTGGAGAAACCTGACAAACACTTCCTTAACCAGGTGACCAAGGTTAATATCAACAATGATAACTAATATTGATATGTACCCTTTACACCATGTGATGAGAATGGCATTTTACTTCTGTGGTCTTCTCCAAAGCATATAATGCCTGCATAACCATAAGAAAAAAAATTCAGCAAACCCAACCTGTGGGATATTGTAAAACAATTCTTAACCAGTACTTCCCAAAAGTGTCTAGGTTGTCAAAAACAAAGAGTTTAAGAAACTAATGGCCAAGAGGAGCCCCATGGAGACATAAAAACTAAATTTAATATGGTAACCTGGATGAGATTCTGGAACAGAAAAAGGACATTAGGGAAAATCTGAATAAAATATATACTTTAGTTAATAATAATAGAATTAATATTGGTTTGTTGTGAAAAACATACCATACTAATTTAAGATGTTATTCACAGGAATATGGCATATACTGAATCTTTTTAGTATTTTTGCAGTAATTCAGTAAATCTACAACTGTTCTGAAAGAAAATTTTATTTAAAAAAACAAATAAGCAAATGGAAGAGCCAGGGAGAAAAATAACATAGGTAGAGATGGCAATGCAGACAGGGCCTCATGGGAATTTCCTGGGAGACAATTTCTAAGAAAAAGTGTCAGCAGACAGATTAGCAAATGAGAACAGCACAGCACATGATCACTCAAAATATTCTCCTGGCTCAGTCTTCAGTATCTACATCTGGTGGAGATAGCAACATGTAAAAGCATTCTAAAATCAATAAAAAGCATGGTTTTTTTTGTAAAAACTTCATAAAGTTTTGAGGCCCAAGTGACAACTGGGTACTACCAAACAATGCAAGGGTAAATCTATTGCAGGTAGAGAGGAATTCTCCCCTTTCTGCTGGGATATAATGTTGTCTTAATCTGTCCTGATCTTCAGCCCACCAGTTGCAGCAGGTGCTGCATGATCAGGAGGGTGCTTGATCCATGAAAAGAGGCACAATGCCCAGCAAACATGGCATTACCCAAGGGAGGGTGGCACCCACCTCTCAGCTGTCTGGACTTACTTCTGGGTCCAGGTGAGACTTTCCTCAGCTCTCCACTAAGAGTCTGGTTGGGCACTGGTTTTATTAGTGCAAGGGTAGGTAGGAGCCGGTCCAACACAGTGCACACACTCAGCACCTCATTTGAGCTTTTCCACAGCTCTGGAAGACAAATTTTATCTCTACTTTACAGATGACAAAGCTGTCCCTTACAGCAATGGATCTGTAGTGATTCTTTCCGTTTCAAGTCCCAGAAGTAATGTGACTTCTATCATTTTAGTCCTGACAAGCTTTATAAGCTTGTTGGACCATTCTTTCGCTTATGTATTGCTTTCCTATATTTTACCTTTCAGTATTTTTATAACAAAAGTATTCTGCGCTTTTTAGGAGAAAATGACAGATGAACAAAAAAGAATGTAAGGAAAGATTACCCATAGATAGCTATTGTTAATCTTTTAGTGGACAGAGCTTTCAGTTATTTTCTATACATGGATCGCTAAGTAAATTATCTTTGTAGCTTTACAAAAATGGACCAATGCCATATGTTTGTTTCTACAATTTTTTTTTAAATTTTACAATGCACTATGAACATATTTTTTGTGCAATGGATGAAAAATTCGCTACTTGAAACATAGAGAGTTGCAGCTGGGTCAAAAGGCTGATGGTAACAGGAGGGATATCTAAAACAAACTATTAGCATAAGATTAAAGCGCAGGGCCTGGCAAATGCCTACCAGGGCCACTACACATAAGGGATGTCTTCAGTGTCCCTTCTTGGGGCCCTGCAGCCACCCCTGAATTCCCTTGGCCCCCTTGGGTAAAAGGGGTCCTGTAAATTTCTTTGCATCCACAAAAACCCCCCTAATTTTTGTCTGCTTTTTCTAGAGTCATCCTCCACCCTAGCCATATTGTCAAATTCTCTTATCATGTCCTCATTGCTGAAATTCTTATCAGGTCCAGCCTCTTTATACTCCTTGAGGTACTGAGCCAGCCCCTTGTTGGTTTTTCTTTTGGCTTTCCTGGGTACATCATCCTCAGCTGGACGCTTCACAGCAGCTCTTGTTTCACTCTCTGGCTTTCCCTCGCTCTTTGACTTTCCCTCACTTTCTGGATTTCCCTCTTTCTCTGGCTTTTCTTCTGCCTTTCCCTCACTCTCTGGCTTTCCCTTATCCTTCAGCATTTCCACATTTTCTCTATTTCCCCTGTTCTGTGTCTTTACATCATTTTCTAACTTTTCCTTGTCTTCTGGAGTACAAACTGCTTCTGGCTTTCCCTCACCTTGTGGCTGTTCTTCATTTTCCAACTCTCCTTGATTCAAAGGCATTCCTTCATTTCTATTGCAGTTTTTTGCCATGTTGAGATTTCACCTCCTTCTCTTGTCCTGGAGAGTGGGGTAGGAGAAGAGGAGACAGAGTAGACATGGAGTTTGAGAGCTTGGGGTGGAATGGAGATCAGGACAGTCCTCGCATCTTCCCCTAAGAGTTACCCTAACCTGGCTGAGTTACCCTAACCAGGCGGGACCTTCCAGGTGTGCCTTCTTCCCATCCCTTCTCCCCCACCCCAGTCCTCCCACCCATGGAGTCAATCATTCCCTGGCAGGCCCTGCCACCTTCTCTACACCTGGTCAGCATGGCAAACTCTGTGTATTGTGTGTGTGCATGTGTGTGAGGTGGGGTGGGCCGTGGGGTCCCAGTTCTATCCGGGTCGTGCCCTCCACACTGCCAGCCCTTCTGGGTCCCTCCTGGGTCCCTGTCAGTGCCTCCCTCCCTCTCACTGACCTGCAGGGATTCTGGACAGGTCGCTGCTCCTTTTCAGGCCCTGCAGAGTGCTGGGACCCACAGGCGCGCAGACCTGCAGACGGACAGGGGGCAGGGGACAGGGCAAGGCTGCGCGCTCAGAGGACTCCCAGGGACTGGGGCCCCACGTACTCCTGTCTCTCCCGCCCCCTATCCGCCATTTCTTTCAGGCCCTGGGAGGGCACCAAACTAGGATGCTTTCCAAGCTAATTTTGGATCTGTGCGTCCTTCTCCCCTGGAGGCAACTCGCCTACCCACTCTCGCGGTCAGCATTTTCCTCTACACATGGAATGAGAGAGGCGGTTTATTTCCACTGTCTCACTGCTGGGGCGTTCCCCCAACCCACCCCCCTATCCGCCATTTCTTTCAGGCCCTGGGAGGGCACCAAACTAGGATGCTTTCCAAGCTAATTTTGGATCTGTGCGTCCTTCTCCCCTGGAGGCAACTCGCCTACCCACTCTCGCGGTCAGCATTTTCCTCTACACATGGAATGAGAGAGGCGGTTTATTTCCACTGTCTCACTGCTGGGGCGTTCCCCCAACCCACCCTCTCCCGCTTCAAAATGGATGGAGGACAGAGAAGAGGGGGTGCCTAAAAGCGAGAATGGATATTTGGGGGTGCCTGCCTTCCCCACTCTCAGAACGCTGGCTGCTCGCCCACCCTCAGCCATCCTTAACCCTTTCCCACCGTCATCTCAATCTACAGCCCAGCCAGCTTCCCGCGTCCCGAACCCCACCCTAGTCTTTCTCCTACCGTACTCGTTCCCCCTCCCCCATTCCAGTGTTCCCATAGCAGCCTGGAAGGCCCTCTCACTGACCTGAAAGAAACTTGAACAACAATTACCCAAAAGACTGGAGCAGAAGGCTGCTGGACGCGACCGCAGAGGAGAGAACAGGCACCGAGACTAGTGCCCCACATCTGCGCCCCAAAGTCACGTGAACACCGCGGCGCCAGAGCTCCACGCCCCCTCCCACGCCCCGCCTACCAGCCAGCGTCTGCCTGGCACCCACTGCCTGTCTTGAGCAGGTAACCCCTCACCTCTTTGGGTCCTGTTTTTTGTTTTTTTTTTCTCCTCTTATTAATTTTGTCAAAGAAAGAAAGAATTAAAAAAAAAAAAAAAAAGAAAAGAAAAGAAAATCACAAAGGTCCGGGAGAGGAGTCTTGATAATGTTGCTTTTAAATTATGTTGAAAGCTCAGAGCCTCACCATGAAATCTTACTGTTATAAACTTGAGTATTGTATGAAGAATAGAATATTGCACTTTAGGAAAAAAAAATTAGGGAAACGTTTCTTCCCAAAATGAAACTGTCTTTTTCCTGATATACACAAACACAAATTTTCTAATAAATAAACAATTAAATTACATTTGAAGCAGGGAGAAAGATGAATTTGTATTAACTGAAAAACTGAGTGTACCGGGGACATGACCAGTCCAGTTAAGTAAGACAGTTAAGACAGTGAAGCTGTGTCCTGCAAACTTTGCAGCCTGCAGCCCATGAAGCCAAACCATAGCCTCTGCAACAATCTTCAGGACTAGATCAGCTTGCCTGTCTTCCTATTTTTTACCCCGTGATGGACAAGAAAAAGCCAAATATGTACCCTTAAACAATCACTTCGGATGCCTCACTTTTAGTTGACCTGTCTCCATCTTGCCATGCCCATGACCTCTAATCAGAGCATACCTAAAGTCTTTCAGGCTTTTTTTTTTTTAAATTGGTGTATATCTATCTATCTATCTATCTGTCTATCTATCTGTCTATCTATCTATTTATGGGGTGATTTTTTGGTATATGAATACAACATAAAATGATTAAATCAGAGTAATGACCATATCCATCATCTCAGATATTTGTCATTATTTTGTGTTGATAAGGTCTTCTCATTTTTTTCACTATAAAGCTTCACCATTTCCCTGCCTGCCTTTGAATCTTAAACACAAATGATGGTGGCTGACTTCTTTGAATAAGTAGCTTCTATTTGTGTGTAGTCTCTGTGTCTACACACAATTTTTGGTGTGGAAGATCTTTAAATACTTAACAAAGAGGTGAACAATTAGGGAAAACACTGATATATTTGATTACACGATAATTTGTAACAGATTTATTGAGGAATTGGGTATACACATATGCTTCCCTGTTCTTCAGTATATTGGTAAAAATTTTCTGAAAGTCAACTTTGTAGATTGTTTAAATATTAGATCTTTTGTCCCAGTAATTTTACTTTTAATATTTACCAACAGAGATGATTGATACAGCGCTAAAATATAATCTTATATTGAAAGTGCTTTATGTTTTAAAAAGTCCCATAGCCATTATTTATTGAACATTTATTCCTTGCTGGTACTGGGGCTAAAGTAGTGATCCCATTGGCTTAGTTTATAGTAGAATGGAATGCCACAAGTGTTCAAGTGATAGATATAGCTATATAATCTTCTTAGTGCATCTGTTTACACTGGTTATCTTTCAGTGTTTTGTTTACAAAAAAAAATGATCCTTATGTACTGTCCACTTAATACACAATTAAAATATTTATTAACTATTCATCATCACAATGGATGGTAGCACTGGTAGAAGTTATTGGCCACCAAGGACAGTCACAAATATGTAGTGTTGTCTCCTAGAGAATGCCATTGTATGCCAGGCACTATGCCAGCTACCTTTTCTGGTGTGCTGTTGAGTCACTGGAAAAGTCATGATGTATTTTTCTGTGTTTTTCTCTGCAAAAATGCATCATGACTTTTCTGACGACCCAATATTTTGTTTTTCCCTGATGGGGGAACTCACACTTCAAGGAAGTATAATGATGAATAAAGCTAAAATTCTTTTTGTTAAAAGAAGTATTTTATTTAACTTTATTATTATTATTATTGAATTTGAACAGAGAGAGACAGAGAAAGAAAGAGGGAAAGTGAGAAAGCAAGCTACCAGGTCTGGGACTTTAATCAGGGTCGGCCATGTGGGAGACCAGCGCCTCCAACCACCATGCCATCTGCAGGCTCCTAAAACTAGAATTCTAACTCAGTGTAGTACAGGAATAAGAATAGTAAGAGGGATAAAACAGAGAGCCTACTAACACACTCAAGTATACAAGTTTTTAGTGTATGATACATTTCTGATCAGTAGTGAAAAGCAGGTTATACGTTTTATTTGTATAATTATTTAAATATTTGAGGAAAAACTAAGAACTTTATTTTCTGACATATTGAAATCTTTTCAGAATAGGCAAGATAAATGAAATAAAAACCACCCAGATCAAAAGGAAAGAGTAAAATATTTCTATTTGCAGATGACATGATCTTATATATAGAAAAATCTCAAATGATTCACCAAAGGACTATGAGAACTAATAAGTGAGTTCAGCAATGTGGCAGAACACAAGATCAATGTACAAAAATTAATTGTATTTCTATATGCTGGCAGTGAACAATTCAGAGAGAAAAGTAAGAAATTATTCCATTTAGGGAGTTGGCAGGTGGCATGGTGTTTAAGGTGACTGGACTCCCACATGGCTGACTGCAGTTTGAGTCCCAGACCTGGTAGCTTGCTTTCTCACATTCCTCTCTCTCTCTCTCTCTGTCTTGCTCTTGTCAACTTAAAAAAAAATAATGACAATGAATAAAATAAAATTTAATTTAATTTAAAAAGAATAATTTTAAAATAATCAAAGTGAATAAAACACTTATAAACAAATGTAATAAAAAATGTAATACTTGTACACCAAAACTACAAAACATTGTTGAAAGAAAATAGGTTAATACCTAAAAAAAAATTGGAAAGACATACTATATTTATTGATCACAAGACTTAATATTATTAAGATGGACAATATTTCCCAAATTGATATTCAGATTCATGTAATCTCAGCTGGTTTGTTTTCAGAAACTGACAGATTCTCAAATTCATATGGAAATGCAGGGAATTCAGAATAGACAAAATAATTTTGGGAAAAGAATCACATTGGAGACTTCACACGTTCAGATTTTGAAACTTACTATAAAACTACAGAAATCAAGACAGTATGGTACTGACACAAGGACATGTAAATCAATGGACTACAATTGATAGTCAATAAATAAACTCTCACATTTATACTCAATTGATTTTCAACCAGTGTGCTAAGAAAATTCAATGGTGAAAAAATAGTCTTTACAACAAATGGTGCTGAGACAAATGAATATTCAGGTAAGTAAAATGAATTTGGATCTTCACACCATATTCAAAACTTAACTCAAAATAGATTAAAGTTCTAAATGTAAGAATTTAAACTGTTAGGTTGTTGGGAAAATCACAAGATATTTTTCTTTGCAAAAATGCACCGTTTCCTGACAGTCCCAATATTAAGCTCTTAGACACACACAGGTGTAATTATTCATGATTTTGGATTTGGGGACTAACCAGTGTTGTTATTGTTTTTTCATTGTTGTTATTTGTTTGTTTTAGATATGACAACCAAAAGTTCAATCAACAAAATAAATATAGATGACTGGAACTTGATCAAAATGCAAAACTTCTGTGATTCAAAGGACATCATTAAGACAGTGAAAACATAACCAACCAAGTGGGAGAAAATTTTTGCCAGCAACATATCTGATAATGGACCTATATCTATGATATATATTAAAAAACTGTTACAACTAAATAATAAAAAGATGAGTCAATTCTAAAATGGACAAAGTATTTGGATAGATACTTCTCGAAATAAAATAGTCAAATAACCAATAGACACATGAAAAGGTATTCAACATCTTTAGTTATGAGGAAAAGGCAAATCAAATCCACAGCGAGATACCACTTCATACCAACATATAAACAAAAAGAGAGATAATAACAGGTATTGGCCAAGATGTAGAGAATTTGGAACCATCACATAGTGCATGTGAGAGTGTCAAATGTACTGATGTGGAAAACAGTTTGGTTATTTCTCAAAATGTTAAACATGGAGTTATCATAAGACTCACCAATTTCACTCTTGGGTATATTCACAAGGGAAATTGAAGAATATGTACAAACAAAAATTTGAATGAACATGTTTCTGAGAGTATTACTTAGAATAGGCAGACACTGGGGGACCAGCAGATGCCATAATGGTTACATCACTGGACTCCCACTTAGTCAACTGCAGTTTGAGTTCCAGACTCAGTGGTTTAAAACCCATGCTAGGGGTGGGGGACCAGCAGTTGGTGTAATGGCTATGTTGCTGGACTTCCATGTAGTCAACCGCGGTTCAAGTCCTGGACCTGGTGGCTTAAACTCATGCTGGGTGCATGTGCGTGCATGCCCAAGATCCCTTGAGGAGAATGGAGCAGAAGAGATTGCAGTGTGGCCATTCCCCCCTGGGGGGGGGTGATTTCTTGTTTTCTGTCTTTCTGGCGAGTGCACACACCCTATACCAAAAACCTTTCCAAAAAAAATTCACTCTGGGCACATGTGCACATGTGCATGCATGCCCAAAATCCCAAAAGGTGACTGGAGGAGAAGGAATTAAAGTGTGGCCATCCCCCCAGGAGGTTGATTCCTTGCTTCCTGTCTCTCTATCTCTCTGGCAAGCACACACACCTGATAGCAAAAATCTCTCTCCAAAAAAAAAAAAAAAAGGGAATTGGAAGAAACTGGAAGGGCCAGCAAGTGGTATAGTGGTTAAGGTGCTGCTGAATTCCCTTGTGACTGATTGTGATTCGAGTCCTTGATCCAGTGACTTTAAACTCATTGTGTGTATATGTACATGCCTAGAATCCTGAGAGGAGAATTGAAGAGAAGGGATTGCAGTGTGGCCATCCCCCTGGGGGGTTATTTCTCACTTTCTGTCTCTCTGTCTCTCCGTGAGTGTATGAGCTCTATAGCAAAAATCTCTCTTAATAAAAAAGAGAGAACAGGTAGAAACTGGAACTATCCTAAATGTTCATCACTTTATGAACAGATAAATAAGATATGTTTTGTCCACATTATGGAATA